TCTGCATAGAGAATTCTAGGTTCATGACTTTCTTTCCTGGAGTAATTTATTTTTTTTATTTTTAATTTTTAAAAATATTTTATTTATTTATTCATAGAGACACAGAGAGACAGAGAGAGAGAGGCAGAGGGAGAAGCAGGCTCCATGCAGGAAGCCCGATGTGGGACTCGATTCCAGGACTCCAGGATCACACCCTGGGCTGAAGGCAGGTGCTAAACCGCTGAGCCACCCAAGGATCCCCCCCGCCCCCGGAGTACTTTATTTAAATAATAAAAAAAATTATTTATTTATCTGAGAGAGCGAGTGGGGGGAGGAGCAGAGGGTGAGAGAATCATGACCACCACCACCACCCTCCACCCTACCCCCTCCCTGCCCCCAGCACGGAGCCTGCCGGGAAGCTCGATCCCAGGACCCCGAGATCATGACCTGAACCAAATCAAGAGTCAGTCCCTTAGCCGACTGAGCCCCCCAGAAGTCCTCTTCCTTGAATACTTTAACATGCTGCTCTGCTCTAAGCATGGTTTTTCCTGAAAAGTTGGCTATCATCTTTACCTCTCTTCCTCTATACTTAATCTGCCTTTCTTCTCTGGCCACATTTAAGATATTTTTCTTTATCACTGGTTTTGAGCAATCTGATAATGATGGACCTTGGCGTCATTTTGTTTGTGTTTCTTGTACTTTGGTTCTATGGGTTTACAGTTCAATTAAATCAGGAAAAAAATTTGGTCATTATTTAAAAAAATATTTTGCTCTCTCTCCTCTCCTTTGGGAACTCCAATTATATATATAGGGCTGACCCTTAAACAACATGGGTTTGAACCACACAAGTCTATTTATATGCAGATTTTTTCAATACAGCATAATACCATAAATGTATTTTCTTTTCCTCATGATTTTAATATATTTTCTTTTCTCTAAGAGCTTAGTCTATTGTAAGAATACAGCGTACAGTACACACCACATAAAAAATATGTGTTAATCAAGTGTTTATATTATTGACAAGGCTTCCAATCAATGGTAGGCTATTCATAGGTTAAGTTTTTAGGGAGTCAGTTCTACACAGATTTTTTGACGGCACAGGGGTTGGGGTCCCCAAACCCTATACTATTCAACACACACACACACACACACACACACACATCCCAGGCTTGAAGTCCCACAGCTCACTGGTACTCAACTCATTTATTTTCAATGGCTTAGTTTATTTAGTGTCTATTGCAATGTCTTCACTCCTCCTCCTATTTTCCTCTACAGTATCGAACTGCCATTAATCTTATCCAGTTTACATTTCATCTCAAATAATACAGATTTCATTGCCTGGAGTTTGATTTGGGTCTTTTTTGTATCTTCCATGTCTCTGTTTCACTTTTTTTTTTCTGTTTCACTTTTTGAACATATAAAATACAGTTAAAGAATTATTTTAATGCCCCGTCAGCTAATTCTAAATTCTAGATCAATTCTGGGTTGGTGTTTTTGATTCCTCATTATTGATTCTTTTGGCTGTATTTTTGCATGCCTGCCTGGTGGTTTTTGATTGGATGGCAGACATTGTGAATTTTACCTTGTTGGGTGCTGAGTATTTTTGTATTTCTCTAAATATTCTTGAATTTTGTTGTAGGACGCAGCTATCTGGAAACAGGACAGTCCTTCTAAGGTGGGACCAGTGTCCTGTTTAGCCTAGGGCTAATTATTCCCCAGACTGAAGCAAGACCCTTCTGAGTACTCTCACCAAAGCCCTGTGAATTACGAGGTTTTCAAGTCCCACAGCTGGTGGGAACAGACACTATTCCCAGGCTTGCGTGAGCATCAAACACTGTTTTCTCCAATCTCTTCAGGCACCCTTTCCCAGCCTTGGGTAGCTTCCTCACTTGTATGTGCTGATTAAGATTCAGCTTGATAGATAGGAACCTTCTGCAGGTACCCAGCCCTCCTTCCCGTGAAGCACTTTCCTCTCCAGTACCCCTGTCCTGTGAACTACGGCTGCTATTCCCGCCCAGACTCAACCACATCTCTTGGAGTCAGAGTCCTGTGGGCTACACCTGAGTTCCTCCTGTGTCCTACAGCTAGAAACTCTCTCCAGGCATAAGGTGGGCCATCATAAAGCTCACTTCATTTGTCTCCTAATTTTCAGGGATTAGTATCCTTCACTGCCTGACCGGCACTATTAGTATGTGAGTAGGGTTTACTGATTGTAGGCTTCACCGTAAGATAACTGCCTGGGCCATCCTACTGCGCACACTGGGGCCAGTATGTCTAGGTCTCTTCTCTTGGGCTAGATGGATTCCCCTGGAAGATTCTTCCTATCTGTATTTTGAACAAGCCCAGCTGGCGGGGTTCTAGGATAGTTGAGGGGCCCACCGATCGGTATGCAGATGGTCGTTTGACCTCCATGTTTTCACTGTAATACCACACCCTAAGAATCTTTGTTCTTTCCAGAAGATACACTTCTAGGCTTCTGTCAGAGAGATGGTACAGAAGAAAAGGAGTAAGGAATCTCAGCCTCTGTGGTACTGGCCTTATAATGAACCTCGCCTCCTGATATGCACGTCTTTATTTGGTTCCCTTCCATCATATGGTAGGGCTGACCTGCGTGACCAGGAGAATGAGGCAGGAGCAATTGGGGACCTTTGAGTCTAGATCGTAAATTGCTTTGCAGTCTCCACCTTGATCTCTTGGATCACTCAATCTAGGAGGAAAAAGCCAGGCTTCATGCTGCAAGGACTGTCACTCAGGCAGCTCTGCAGAGGCTCACATCACAGAACTACGGTTTCCCACCAACTTGTGAGCCTCAGAAGTGAGCGACCTTTATCTGGGAAGGTGAGCTACGAGCTCCAGCCAAGCCTGCAGGCGAGCACAGCCTCTGCTATGTCTGGCTGGATGTTAGGAAAGGTTCTGACACCACATCAGTCACTCCTGAATTTCTGACCCACAGTGAGAGATGATAATTGCTGTTTTCAGCCACTATGTTTGGGAATGATTTCTTAATGCAGCATTGCATAACTAACACAGCATCCGACTTTCTAACTGCAGACTTTCAAGCAACCTCTTGGTTTTACTGCCACTCTCAACTCTACTTCCAGAGATAACTGGTACTGCCAATTCTTGAGCTTCTTGGAGAATTCTATGATATATACTGGTTGCTTTTTTACTTTCTCAAAATTCAGCCTAGGAGTCTGAATTTCTAGGTCTGCAAAGTCACTTGCTACTCATCCAAAAGCTTCACAAGTTCCAAAGTTTTTTGCTGTTATCTCCTGTTGTCCTTGTCCTAGTTGGACAAAAAAGTTAAAAACTCCTTACTGCGTTTTTACTGGAGGCAGCAAAAGTAAGTATGCACAATCTGCCTCTTTATCTAAGAACCTTTGCCAGTTTAACAAGTGAAAAACATTTCAATATGTTTTAATTTATATTTTCCATATTGTGAGTATTCTTGAGTCATCTTATAAATTTTCTTTCAAGAGTTGTATTTCCTTTTAGGTAAGTATGTGTTCATTTTTGGGGGGAGCGGGACTATTTTCCCACTAAACTCCTAGGTCTTTTTCTTCTTGATTTAAAAAAGCTCTCCATATTTGAGAAATCAGCTTTCTCTAATACAAGATGCTGATACTTTTCACTGGTTGTATTCTGTTATGGTGGTTTCTGCTACGTGGTAAAGTTTTATTTCTATGTAGCTGACACAATTATTTTATTTTATTTTATTTTATTTTATTTTTTTGTTTTGTTTTGTTTTCTTGGGCGTGACTTTTTTTTTTTTTTTTTTTTTTTTGCTTCCCAGTTTTGTGTCAGACTCAGAAAGGGCTTCCACACCCAGGGATTTTTTTTTTTTTTCACACCCAGGGATTTTTTTAAAAAAAATCTTCCATGGTTTGTTCCAGTGCTTTAATCACTTCATTTTACGTGACAAGCTCCAATATAGGTAAAATGTATTACAATGTAGGTAACTGATGAAACTTCATTTTTTTTTTAAAGAAAACTTTACTTTTTCTATATAGTTATCTACTACCAAATCCATTTATCGAATCATCCATCTTTTCCCCAGTGATCTGAAATATTACCTTTCCATATACTAAATTTCTTTTTTTTTTAAGATTTTTTTTTTTTAATTTACTCATGAGAGACACAGAGAGAGAGAGGCAGAGACACAGGCAGAGGGAGAACCAGGATCCCTGCAGGGAGTCCGATGCAGGACTGGATCCCAGGACTCCGGGCTCACGCCCCAAGCCAAAGGCAGACATTCAACCGCTGAGCCACCCAGGCGTCCCCTAAATTTCTTTATATACTTGGATCTATTTATGGGTCTAGTAACCTGTTTTACTGATCTCTCAGTCTATTCGTACGCCATTAAGACAATGCTTTATTACTGAAGTTTACCCCCTTCTCTAATTGTTTTCTTTTGGCAAATGTCTTCTGAAATTATGATAAAACACAAACAGTTCTGAAGCCCCAAATAACTAAAGAATGATAATGTAGTTGGCTTCTTGGGACAGATGTTCAATATTCAGATATAAGAAGTTCAATATACTATAAATAAGAAAAATCAGAAATACTCATGAACAAAAACAAGAAGTATAGAGTTGGGTTCAATTAACTGATTAGTAGGAAGGTCCTCTTTTCCATTAAGAAAAATATAATCTAGGGGCACCTGGGTGGCTCAGTGGTTAAGTGTCTGCCTCTTGCTCAGGTCATGATCCCTGGTCCTAGGATAGAGCCTTATGTCAGGCTCCCTGCTCAGTGGGGAGTCTATTTCCCTTTCTTCCTCTGCCCCTCCCTTCCGCTTGTGCTCTCTCTCTCTTAAATAAATACAATCTTAAAAAAAAAAGATTATAATCTAGTTAGTTAAAGGAGACAGAACCAGAGAATACAAGTTAATGGTGTCTGAATTGCATTCAGCGGTCAGTAATTGCTGCATACTGGCTTTTAAAGAACAACTGCTCATATCTAATATTCAACAAAATATTTTGTATCAAAATAATTATCTTTTTTTATCAAAATAATTATCTTACTTGTAACAAAAGCAGCTGGAGAAGATGATCATAGCAATTATGCAAACAGCCATAGAAATGAGCACGACCAGCCATCGAATGCTGCCATCAAAAAATGGACCTGACAAGGGAAGTAAACAATGAAGTATACATATTATCTTTCTTTTACATGTTAAAAGGGAAAAAGAATTTTTAGTATTAAATTCTAAAAACCCTGCTTGTTATTAAAACCAGAGAAAATATTTCACTGAAAATCATGATCACATTCTTCTCGGCTAACCTACCTATAACAACAGGGGGCAGTGTAGGTTGTAAATACTGGTTACATAAATTGGTCCGACAACATTCTATCGTCCGGCGTAGCTGGGCTTTTGGTGAATCCTAGAGGAAGAGTATTGGTAAAATTAAAAATGGCTTGATATTTTAAGTTGATAATGAGTTTTTAAAAAAATTCACAAATACAATTTTAATTCAGTTGAGAGAATAGGACCTCCAAATTTTATGTATAAAAAAATTGAAAAATTAGAATTTGTGCTCAGTGAAGACTGTGAAATGATTTTTCTTAAGGAAAACATGTATGTGGATGGTGTGTTGGAACACTGGACTATAACTAAATTACAAACAAAAGTTCAAAAGTATTTTTCACCAAGACTTTGGCATATTTTAATATATTACTATTCATTTGTTTTTAGTAAAAATGTAAGTCATGGGATCTTTTCCTTAAAAACACGGGTAAGACGTTTAATCACAATGACAAACAAGGAGAGCACACAGGATCTCACGGCAGTACTGAGACTACTTAAGTGGAGGGTGTCCCAGTTTAAAGAAAGGAGATGCCAGGAAAGGCAGTCAAGTAGGGAGAGAAGATATTGCAGTCTTCTTAAAACAACTACGCTGAAACTAATGAGCCTCATGTAGAAGCCAGTTAAAGCAGATATGGAGAGAACAAAGACAAAATATAGAAGCCATATTCCTGAGTTTCATAGAGTCCACCCACCAGATATGAGATGCACCCCCAATAGGTCAGAAAATGAGCACAGGAAAAGACTAGTCATGAGAACAGACATCAACAATTATGTGTGAAGTTTTACTTGACTGGTACAGTACTGGACAAGTTATTAACTTGAATGCTGACATTTAAGCACTGCCTGGGAAAACTGCCATTCTGGACCAAAATAGTAACAGAAAGGAACTGCTTGTCATTATAAAAGTAGCAACAATATAAGCAGAAATTGGCCATGTTATTCTTAAATATCAGATGGCCAGAAAGGAAAAATTTCAGTATGATGAAGCGTAACTTTAAAAAGGTAAATAGGAGTCCATGACTTGAGATTCCAACAGGGAAGATGGGTTAAGAAGATTTGGAAACTTCTAAAAGCACCAAGTTTACACTTTAATGGAATTTTTAACATTAAAACAATTTTTACTTTTAATTGATCATAAAAAAAAAGAAAGGAAGGAAAGATCTGTTAGGAGTTACACAGATGACTCTCAAATAATCCCAGACAGAGAACATTTACAGGAAGAAGGATAGAATGAAGTCTATAACCGAAGATGAATACAGGGACTATGAAGCATCCAAGAACAGCTCCAGGAGGGCTAACGATCCAAATGAGTTTAGTCCTGCAAAAGAGAAAATGTAAAGAAAAACCAAGAAAGAGTTTATCTGGCAGTGCTAGAAGAAAGGCCACCAAGCAATGGACGTGTTACTGACAAAACAGCAGGTGACAGAGGACAAAGATCAGCACCATGTGGTGGGAGCCGCTCTCGCAGATGCAGGAAGAGATCCTCCAGGGCTTCTGTATTCTGCACGAGTGCCTGCCCTTGAAGCCGAGGCCGGGTGATCAGACCCCAGCAAGAGAAGAGCACCTGGGAGAGGCTGGAAGGCAGGTGCGACGGGAAGAGTTCAGGAAGGGCCAGTGTTGGACACTGAAGAGCTAAATGGGACACTATTTCTTTTTTTAAAAGATAAAGCACTTTCCCAACTATAGTTCGGAGGCAGCGTGGTTTTACAGAAAAAGCAAGGGCTCTGGAATCAAAAAGCCTATTAAATCCTAGCTTCGCCACTAATTTTGTGAACAATGAACTTCTCTCTGGGCTTTCCTTTCATGTGCTGCAAAATGAAGGACAAAAATCCCTGCCTTATAGAGTAACTGGGAGAAAATGAGGTAGCATGTCCCAAATATCTAGCTTATTACATGCAAACAGTAAATATTCAATAATTAATTATTCCTCCTCTAGTGAATGTGACATGATCCTAGTGGGGATTTTAGAATAAGCCCCAAATGCTTATGAACTCCTGGAAGAGTCCATGTGGCTTCACCAAGAACAGCAACATGAGCCTCAGCTCTCACCATTCTTAGATAGGTTAACTACAGGTCTGGGTAGGCAAAGAGCAGATGACCAAGCTGAGGGAAGGATCCTTCCTGTCCCTGCACCCCTCACGTCCATCCTCCACTCATGTCCACTTGTATGACTTGTCCAAGTTATGTGAGCTTAGGGACTTAGATTTGAATTACAACACTGTTTGGAAATAAGGTTTTCGGTCCCAGGCCTTTGATCTGTAAACCAGGAGAAGGGCGACTGTGCTAAGGGAGAAGGGAACAGAAGCTGCCTGGGGAGCCCTGTTCTCAGGTGGCCCAAGAGTAAGCGACAGGACTCAGGCTCTGAAAAGCAATTCCCCTAAACTATTCACGTGCCTATATGACTCTTGTGTAACAGTCTGTGTGAACCTAGTGATGCACATAATCACCTTAAGGACAGACCAGTTTTATCACCAACACGGTAAAAGCTAATGTTTACTAAGCCCTGTGTGCTAAACTCTTCACATATTTGTTATATCGTTTGATCCTTGCAACCTCTTTATAAAAGAGAAAACAACTCTAAAAAAGAAAATTTCGGGGATCTCTGGGTGGCGCAGCGGTTTAGCGCCTGCCTTTGGCCCAGGGCATGATCCTGGAGACCCCGGATCGAGTCCCACATCGGGCTCCCTGCATGGAGCCTGCTTCTCCCTCTGCCTGTGTCTCTGCCTCTCTCTCTGTATCTCTCATGAATAAATAAATAAAATCTTAAAATAAAATAAAATAAATAAAAAAGAAAATTTCCTTGCCCCAAAGTTCTGCAGCTAGTAAGCAGCAGTATTTGGATTTGAATACAGCTTGTGAAGTTTAACAACTAACTTATATTAGTGAATTCAATTTGCAATGCACCTAGTTTAGGGGGCTTGCAGGATGCAGGTTTTACTGCTGAGCTTGGTGCTCTAACCAGAGTTCTTTCTTCAATATTTTCAGTTTAAAAAAATGTACAGAATGTGTGGTTGATAAACGTCAAATGACATGAAACTGGGAGAAATAATCAAATTAGCATCCTCCCAATCCTGACAAATTACAGCAAGGACTAATTCTAACATGATAACATCTAACATAGGCAAGTATGTGACAACTGTTTAACAGAACTCATTCCATTCCCATCCTCCTATTTGCATCAAGAATCCTAAAGAACCAATAAAGAATTGGAGAGACATGGTTGAGCGCTGGCGGGAGGGCAAGATGGGATTTCAGCTGACAGGCAGCTCGACAGGTTAAGAGTGCGCTATGACATTCCACCATCTAACACGACATTTGGCTGTACTTAGAAAAAGGGAAAGGAGCTACTTATTCTCTGCTTTTTTTTTTCCTTCTGGTCAAAATACACTCAATTCTGTGTATTACACTGAGAAACCAGAGTAACTAAAGCTGATCAGACACGGAGCAGCTGCGGTGACGGTGAACTAGCATTTTCACCCGGCAAACACTAGGGGGTATGGGGAGGAATGCAGGATAACAGAAACACACTAAAAAGCTTTCTTCACACAGTAAAGGGCTGTCTTATTAAAGAGGCTTTAGATTTGTCCTCTGTGGTCCAAAGGGGCAGGAAGAGATTTGTAAGTCATTAGGAGGAAAAGCTTTCTAAAGATCGGGTCAGGCTGTTCGTAAGATGAAATGTGGAGGTGGTTTTGGAGGTGAGGAGTCCCTGTCACCAGAGGCGTCACACCTAGAAAACAGATGGGATGCAACATGTGTCTATGTGGGGGAGGAAGTACAGAGGGGCCGTGTGGATCCCAAACTTTAGCAGAGGTTGGAACATACAACCTTTAAAGTTTCTATCAATCCTGAGAATTTCTTAATAATGGGAATAAACTTCCTAAAATAGTCGAACCTTGAATCTGTGAACAGTTCTGTCTGAAGCTGTTTTTCAAAAACATTGGAAGGATTGCTGGGGCAAAATTACCATACAGGATTTTGAAGGGATTAGGTTTATATCCAAGAGCCATCGGGATGTTCATCAACTCTTTATGACCAACCCTCTGATGCTTTGCTGCTGCTATTAAAATAGCTCCACTGAGATTTCCTTACAAGGACTTAACATTTCTAAGTTGTCTCAGTGACACAAAGGTTATTGCCCATCACCCTAAAGTCTTCCCAGTCAATTTTATGAGCCATGGGTGATACTGTGACAATATTTTTTTTGCAGTCATGACAATTTAGAAACAGGATCATCAAAAACTTTTTTTGTAGGGCAAATAATCTGGAACCTCAATTACCGCAATCCTACTACCTTGGAGTAAGGGCCAAGCTTTGTCCAGTACCTCTGATTTACAAGAACATACACTGATGAGCAGATCAAGTACACTGCTCCTGGGAAGATGAATACTTTTTACGTGGCTCCCTCCCATCTTCATTTCACAGGCCCCAAATTAGATCTTACCTTGCACTGAAAATCAGATCCTTCATATTTCATACACCCTGAAGCTAATGTGGTTTCTCCCTGGTCATCTTCTTCTATGATGGCAAAGCAATGCCCATTAGTTCTAAAAGAAAAGACCCAAAAAACCAAAACATGTAACTTCACATCAGAAAGTACCAATGAAATCTCAGTCTGAATGTGCCTGGATACTGATGACCTTCAGTACCTGGTTTTTTGAACTACAACTGCATTCACATGTTATTTTTTGGCACAATTCTATGGGTTCTCAGGCAAATGAAAGAGGTCATGCCTCAACTAAAACCTAAAGGTCCAAGGTGGAAAAAGATTTCTATTTTTTTTTTTGAAAGAGATTTCTATTAAAACGGGTTCTCTAAATACGAATTAAGTTACGTCTCTTTGTAAATCACAGTCATGTGATCACAGAGAATTGATTCATAAAATTTTATAGAGTAAACAATTTTATGTTTTAAAAATATGCTTAAAAATGGCTGCGTCTCTCAGGCGCCTGGGTGGTTCAGTCGGTTGAGCCTCTGACTCTTGGTTGCAGCTCAGGGAGGTCATGATCTCGGGGTCGTGGGGTCAAGACCCACACTGGGCTCTGTGTTCAGTGGGGAGCATACTTAGACTCTCTCTCCCTCCCCTTCTGTCCCTCCTCCCACTTGCATGTTCTCTCTCTCAAATAAATCAATAAATAAAATCTTTTTAAAAAATAAAAACTTTTTTTGGTGCTCCTACTTAGCATTCATATCAGTAAGTATATTGTTTCTGCTTAAAAGACTCTTGCAGAATTATTAATTTTTTCGTAAGGAAAAAATGCTAAGTCTGGGGCAAAATTTTGTTAAAATTAATGATTCAGTTTTATTCTGGGTTACTAAGCCACTAATCACAGGTTCATACTATAGACAAGAAGTTTGGCAAGAAATTACTTGGTGACATGGTGCGGAACACTCCCCTTTAACAGATCACCCCGGCTTTCACAATAAATTCAACCACCACCAGAGGACAAACAACAAATCTAAAACATGACCAACTGTCATATAATTTCAATATTTTACATGTACACTTTTTTGTTTTATATCTGCTGATATTCAAAGAGCATACAATTATTAGGAAAGTACAAAGTGGGACGCTATTACTTCATAACAGGGACAGAATTAATTAACTGATGGGACTGAGTTGTTCAGGAAATTTAAAAAAAAAATTTTTTTTTTATTTATTCATGATAGTCACAGAGAGAGAGAGAGAGAGAGGCAGAGACACAGGCAGAGGGAGAAGCAGGCTCCATGCACCAGGAGCCCAACGTGGGACTCGATCCGGGGTCTCCAGGATCGCGCCCTGGGCCAAAGGCAGGAGCCAAACCGCTGCGCCACCCAGGGATCCCTGTTCAGGAAATTTTTTTGGCTAGGAAGCCAATTCTTCAATGTCCCCAAATAATATGGAATAGAATTACAGGATCATATATAAATGTGTTGAATAGTTAACATAAAATTAAGTAGGAAAATTAAAATTGTCATATAAGCCAGATTTGGATTGGGAGCTCACTTGTAAGAAAGTAACATAAAATTAATTAAATATCACAATATCAACTCCTATCTTTCTGTAAAATATTTCAGCCAATTCAGAATTATAAGATTTGGGGTCAATTTCTATTTTTGGAAATCTCTAAATTTTCTACAGTAAGTATCAGTAAACTTTATGGTAAGAATATTATTAAATAAACTCAAAATGTTAGACAAATACCAGATTCCTTTTACCTCCTTTAAAAAGGATATTACAATGTTACTGTAAGAAAAGAACCATCAATCATGCAACAGTACTAAATGTTCCCATATATACAACAAGAAGCTTTTTGGCTCTTTGGAAAGATACCATATAAAATGAAAGAAAAAAAAAACTTAGACAATGTAAATAATTCTTAAAATAGCACCAAATGCACTCCTATTTTCATAACTTCAAGGAAGACTGCAAAAAATACTCACATGCATGTGTTATTAATAGCATCATCCGGGCAGTGTCCTGAGCAATAGCACTTCAAAAAAGGCAAGGTATCCTCTGGTGCTAAGGTTACTCCATTTTCCGATTTTTTCTGGTCAGAGTCCGATTTCATCCCAGTACCATGGAGCATACTGTCTAGGTTCTGCCCTGTGTTCAAATACGAAATCTGTGAATAAATCACTGCTGAAAGCTAATTCTTTCATTTCCATTTCCAAAGAGAGGTTCCTAGGCTTTCTTATTATAGTACGGCAGCTACTGTGCTTAATTAAAAATACATTTCATTCGTTCATTCGACATCTGATCATAACCTCTTATGCACAGAGTAACTGTCCCAGGTAATGTGAGACACACGGAGAGGACCATGTCACAACTCTTGCACCAGCAGAGGCAAACAACGTGGCAAACGTAGACTATGGCTATAACTTGTAAGACATATACGAGATGGGAAGCGATTTCAGGGAAGGCGGAGATCGTTTCCAATCATTCAACAGTACACAAATTATGGTTCTTAGACTCTGGCTCAAGACTTGGGAGCAGCTTAAAAAAAAAAATCCTTTATTTGTGCCTCTACATGGAAGTGGACTTACAAAGCATCTCACTTTGGACTTTAATTGCTTAAGTAAGGGAACTGTGAGAGCAAAGGGACTAATCATATTATCTGGTGCCTTTTATCTCAAGGTCATTGGTTCAAATCCAGCCCATGCTGCCAGAAACTGAAGGTTACTGTAGGGCACCAGTTAGCTTATGAAAATAGAACTGTGTTCTTGCATGAGAGTCAAGTAGCTTCAAATGACAGATACTGTCATATTTGGTACTTAATCTTTCAGGCTGAATGCAGAACAGAACTAAAAAATTGTTTTAATAATTTCTCCCTCCTTCTGAATCGGCTGTACTTGGCTAGCCTGTTCCTTGTAGGATTGACCTCCAGGGAATAAAATGTAGAGCCAAACAGGTATAAAATATTAAAAGAATTGTGTCTAAGCAACATTTCATTATAAATGTTAAATAAGTGGTTCAAGTGTAACATGGACTTGACTTTTAAATTTAGCCATCCTGATGGGATGAACTACTGAAGAGAAAAAGTAACACACATACAAAATACACACACAGATAACAGGAAAAGAATGTGCTGCTAATTAAGTTTTGGCGATTCCATGCTTTGAATTTTAATGATTTTCATTTAACCCTTTAAATTGATAACGCTTAACGACCTCATTTATGTTAGGAATGTTAACTGTAAAAATTAACAAAAGGGCGGGGTGGCCAGGAACAGAAGAAATCCACTAGGCTAAAAATGAGGAGAACTAGATTGTGGTCTACGATGGTCCTACAATGCTCCTACCAGGTTAGTTCGCTGGATGATCATGGACAAGCCGTGTCACTTCTCCAGGCCCCAGTTACTCAGTAAGAACGCAGGAAGCATTACTTTAAATATGGAGAAGCTCAGGGCGTGATCCTGGGGTCCTGGGATCGAGTCCCACATCGGGCTCCCCGCAGGAAGCCTGCGTCTCCCTCTGCCTGTGTCTCTGCCTCTTCTTCTCTGGGTCTCTCATGAATGAATAAATAAAATCTTTTAAAAATAATCATTCCTGCCCAATTCAAGAGGTTATAAATATAGATGAAGTGAACGTACAACAAAGGCCTTAATTACATATAAAATAGGGTACAAATGAAGATATTATTTAATAACGAAGATCACACAAAAGATCACCAATACCTAGAATATTCAAAGTTATATCATGGTCAATACACATAATTTCCCAAAACGTGATCTGAATTTAGGAAATCAAAAATCCTAATTATAATAGTTTGCATCTGGGGTTTGTATTACCTCTTAATATTTTAACAGAACATTGAGAGGCCGGCTATGTGCAGGCAGGGTGCTGAGACTGACCTGGTCCTCAAGAAACTTGGAAGGAGACAAGGGAGAAATGCAATAAGCACATGAACACACTGTGAAGAGTGAGATAATACAAAGGCAAAGGAAGGAGCCTGTAACTCAAACTCAGGCTAGGTGTCAAAAGCAATGAAATCTACGCTGAACCTTAAAGTTGTAGGATTTCTGTAAATGGAGGCACAGGTGCAGAGCAAAATACCCAGCAACAGGCTCTCTGCACTATCCCGCTAGGTGACGGCACCCATTTCCACGGTTTAAATCCATCTCTTTGTCGATGGTTCCTGGGTTCCCGTCCAGCCCTGAGCTGCTTAAGTAATCTCAGAATTAACCTGTCCAAAATGGAAGTCTTGATGTATCTCCTCAAACCTGCCTCCCCAAATCTTTTGGCTCAATCTCCAAAACAGATCTCAAGTTTTTCCATTTTCCTCCACCTCTGCTATCCCCCGGGCCCAGCACACCGTGCCACCGAGATAGGAATCTGCACACTGACCTCCCCCTCCTGTTCATGGCCTCTCCCATCCATTGCCCACACAGGAGCCAGAGGTATCTTATAAACATAAATCTGATCCTGTCACTCCTCCACTTAAAACCAATTAATGGCTCCACATGGGCTCAGAGTGAACTGCAATCTCCTTCCCTGTGTCACGGCCAGCAGGACCCGGGCCGCGTGCGCCTCTCCATCATCACCTCACAGCACCCACCTCCACCACGCTCAGGCGCATGAGCCTCGTGTCAGCTCCCACAATATGCCGATGTCTTTCTACTCACGAGCCCTGTGCTGACAAGGCATAAAATGATGAGGTCTGGGGTGGCCCGAAGCTATAGGTCGTATTTCAAAACAGGCGCATGCAAAAATATTTCCAGCTCACACGCTCAGCAGAACTCAGAAAGAACCACAGATACAGATATAAATATGAAGATGAATAGCTCAAACGTGCAAGGGACTAGAGAACAAATTTATGCCACCTCCTTTGTCATCAGTGGCAATTTTTGGCATCAATGATTTTACATTTTTATTGCTGACTACATAATTTTTCTTACTTTCCCAGTAATCTATGGGCTTCCTTTGTATAAAGCGGAGAAAGTACTCCCCGTCCTCAAGGCGGAATGTCTAGAGCAGAAATCTGAAGGCAAAAGGTAGGAGAGCTGGAGAGATCACTGGGACATCGAAGCTTCGCATGTCTGAAGCAGTCAGGAACAGTTCTTCGTGTACATGCTGCGGAGCACCGACCCCCCAAGGTGGCCTCCAAGCTGCCCCAAAGGGCAGTTTGTATCATCCATCTCCTATTCCTTCATCACCGAACGCTGCGAGGGCCGGGCACCGCTGCCCATGGAGAGGCCTTCGGGAAGCCGCAGGGCTACATGGTACCCGAGTCCCAACGAGTGGCCACATCCACGCAGTGGCCAGGCCTCAGGTCACACACACACACACACACACACACACACACACACACACACACGCCCTATTACAAGTATTTGTGCCTCCATGTGATGCACAGCCCTACTCTCAGTAGAGACAACTGTTCCGTCTAATCCAACAACTTCAGTTCCATGCCCCTTGCCACCGTTTACACAAGACAATAAATTAATTCTGGCCAACAATGTTAGAAGGAAGTCTGCTGGGGAGGGGCAGGGTGAGGGAAAGGAGAGGTGCCTGGGAGATATCTTTACCAATTATTATTATTATTTTTTAAAGGCTTTATTTATTTATTCATGAGAGCCACAGAGAGAGAGAGGCAGAGACACAGGTGGAGGGAGAAGCAGGCTCCACACAGGGAGCCCGATGCGGGACTTGATCCCGGTCTCCGGGATCATGCCCTGGGCCAAAGGCGGGCGCCAAACCACTGAGCCACCCAGGGATCCCTATCTATCTTTACCAATTAAAAAGTGACGCAAGAGACATCCATTCTCCTACCGAATTTGCCAGATCTACATGTGATATCTGGCCCCACAGCAGCCACATTGTGGCCATGAAGTGAGTTAACTGACAGCTAAATTAATAGGTGGAGAACACAGTTAAAAAAGAAAAAGAACTTGGTGAGCCAAGGAATTAACTTAACTTTAAGTCCCCCTACCTTAGACTTCTTATTTTGTGATATAACATTTTTCTTCTTGTTTAAGCTGTTTTGAGTTTTGGTTGTTTTTTTTTTTTTTTTTGTTACTTATAGCTGAAGACACCTTAACTGACACAAGAGAAAAAGTGTGTACCAGACTCCTTAAGTTGTCCAAAGGGTATCTCTTTTCCCTACCTTCCTAATTGACCAAACTCTGAAATTGTCTGGTGGGACAAAGTGTCCAGTCAGAGTCAATGGACTTAGATTAATCTAAGCTGACTGTGACGATCCTGTCTCCCAGTTTTCCAGGAGCCCCAGAAACTGTCTCAGTTTATCAAACAAAACACAATAAAATCTGCTGGCAGAAGGTTAGTTTCTGGGGACATTTTGCTTTCCTGAAATAATGTCCAGCTGAGATCAGTGCTGACCCTTTCCCCATTTTTCCTTCCTCCAATGCAGATAACAGGACCCGTTTTGTAACCATTAGGGATAAGCCAAGAAACTAGAGGTCAATCTTGACACCACTCAACTACTGAATAAGCACCAGCAAACATCTACCATCTACATCAAAAAATAAATTTAAGTCACTGTTGGATAATCAGTTACTTAAGCTAAGATCCATTTCTAAAACTTGTGACCAAATCAAAAACAAGGACTAAATAGCGATTAGATGTTAATTATCAGGTGACTCATTCTTTGTTCCAATTTGAGTAACTTTATCTCAATGTAAAGGACTTCAATCTTTATCATAACATTTAATGTTCCAAAAATTCCTGTTTACATCTAGGATACATGTTATTGTTTCTATTTTATAACAAGGAAACCAATATATGGAGAAATTTACTTTCCCAAGACACAACTGAAGCTAAAATTGAAGCTAAAGGCAAGTTATTTCCACTAATGCCACTCTCTAATCCTTCTTAATAATCTCCAAGAAATAACATTTTCTTCTACATTGGCTTTAGCTCTTTTAAAGACTAAATATTTTTATTTTATTTAAAGCAATTCTCAGGGACACCTGGGTAGTTCAGCGGTTGAGCATCTGCCTTTGGCTCAGGTTGTGACCCTGGGGTCCTGGGATCGAGTCCCACATCGGGCTCCCTGCATGGAGCCTGCTTCTCCCTCTGCCTGTGTCTTTGCCTCTCTCTCTGTGTCTCTGCCTCTCTCCGTGTGTCTCTCATGAATAAATAAAATCTTAAAAAAAAAACAAAAAAACAATTAGATGAAGGCTGGGGCGCCAGGGTCAGTTAAGCATCTCCCTTTCGCTCAGGTCGTGATCCTAGGGTCTTAGGATGGAGCCCTACATGGGGCTCCCTGCTCAGTGGGGAGCTTCTTCTCCTTTTTCCTCTGCTGCTCCCCTGCTTGTGCTCTCTGTCTGCCAAATAAATAAATAAAATCTTTAAAAAAAAGCAATTCTCAAACTAACCTTTTTGAAAGGAAGTGTAACAAATTTTGCTATTCATCACAGAAATGTAATTCTTACCGAGATTTTTCACTTATACCTGATAACTAATTGCCAGCTTATTTAATCTAATAAAAGTTTATTATAGAACAACCTGAATCAGGGTGGGGGAAAGTATTTTGAATTATATTGCCTCTGTGAGATCTACATAGATTTTTTAAAAAATTGAACATCAAATACTGATTACCTGGGTATGAGATGGCAAATATGCTACTATTAACTCATTTTAAAACTATGACAGCTTTGGCTGATGGTGATCAAGACATACAGCTGTTAAAATAAAGGTGTTTTATTAAACAATTTGGCATTTCACCCATAAAAGTGGCTTTTGGAAGAGGGTTCTCTATACTCTGAGCAAGAAAATAATAAAAGGTATTAACTGCATCTAAGAGAAAATATGAAGCTACAGATATTTTTATCTTTAAAATGAAAATGTCAGGGGCACCTAGGTGGCTCAGTCAGTTAGGTGGCTAACTCTTGGTTTCGGCTCAGGCCATCATCTCAGGGTCGTGGGATCGAGCCCCACACTGGGCCCCGGGCTCAGCAGGGAGTCTGCCTGAGATTCTCTCTCTCTCTCTCTCTGCCTCTCTCCCTGCTAGTGCACACACACACTGTCTCTAAAATAAATAAATACATCTTAAAAAAATGAAACTGTCAAAATACTTAAGCTATTATTGTATTTCTTGCCAGTAGAAATTAATCTTTATCACCGTGAACGAAACATCACGAAAGAACAATCTGTGATGACATAAACTTAAGAGAATGAACATACCAATATCTTTAATCTAGACTTCTTTTGTGAAATAGTATTATCTCTTCAGTTTGAAATAATGTCCTAATTAAACCACCTGGAAAAAAGCCCATGTGCAAATATAGCCCATCTGATCCTCAGAGTCATCACAATATTTTCCTGCTTGGGACTTCCAAGCTGTGAACAAGCTGTGAAATTATAATGCTGTTCATAAACAAAACTTTTGAGTATCCTATCAAGAAAATTAGTGGTTAGCACATACAACTGCAACTTACCTTTCTTTCTTTCTTTCTTTCTTTCTTTCTTTCTTTCTTTCTTTCTTTCAAGATTTTATTTATTTATTCATGAGACAGAAAGAGGCAGAGACATAGGCAGAGGGAGACACAGGCTCCATGCAGGAAGCCTGATGCGACACTCGATCCCAGGACTCCAGGATCATGCCCTGGCAGAAGGCAGGCGCCAAACCGCTGAGCCACCCAGGGATCCCCTTTCTGAAGTTCTTTTTTTTTTTTTTTTTTTTTTAAGATTTTATTTATTTATGAGAGACAGAGAGAGAGAGAGAGAGAGAGAGAGAGAGAGGCAGAGACACAGGCAGAGGGAGAAGCAGGCTCCATGCAGGGAGCATGGGACTCGAGGCGGTGCTAAACCGCTGAGCCACCGGAGCTGCCCCCTTTCTGAAGTTTTTTAATGACAAAATGATTTAAAAATTATTTACATTTATTCCTTATTATATTTTAAAGGAGACAGGAATTTTAAAACTATGTCTTGAATACCTATTACCTTGTGTCTTAGTCTTATTAGGACAGGTACTTTGTATTTTATCTCATTTAATCTTCATTAAGACTTAATTTGTATATCATAATGCCTATGTTATGGATAGGAGAACAGATTCAGAAAGACTGAGATTTTACAAACATTTGAAAATGTTTTTATCACAAACTCAAAATTATCTGGCATGTATCTGTTCTTTGCCTTTTTACTTAAAAGCTATGCAGGCATACTGAGCCTAACTGTTCAAAAAGGGCCGTGAGTGGAAAGGACAGTTTCAAGAATGAGTGTCTTAAACGTAGAAATAAGTTACTGAAAAAGACGGTAAGATTATTTAACACTGATTTACCTTGAACATAAGAAATGATGAACAGATAGGCTCCCAATAATTTGATGTAAATATACAGCTGAGTCATTGTTCAATTTTAATGTTTCCTGTATGCTGTCACCTCTAATCACTGGTCTTGTTATATTACTAATTTAAATGATTTTTATTCAAAGAGATTTTGTTGTTAAAGGTCTCAATCACTTGACAATGACTCCAATTTCCACTGTTTTCTCTTGACTCCTGAAAAATAAAAATATAAAAAAGGTAATGAATATAACTATATTCATAATTATAATAATTATAATTCTAGATAATTCTTCATAATTCTAGAGGATTTCAAAACTGAGAAAAACAAATGCTCTAACATACCTTTAAATAATGAAACACATTGGTGGGGGGTGGGGGGGAGACAGAAAGAGAGTAGCAGGAGGGGCAGGGGGAGAAGGGGAGAGAGAATCCTAAGCAGGCTTCACACCTAGCACGGAGCCCGATGTGGGGCTCGATCTCACAACCCTGGGATCATGACCTGAGCCAAAATCAAGAGTTGGATGCTTAACTGAGCCACCTAGGTGCCCTAATAATGAAATATATTTTAAAAGATTCATTAAACGTTTTAAAAAAGATTTTATTTATTTATTCACGAGAGACAGAGAGAGGCAGAGACACAGTCAGAGGGAGAAGCAGGCTCCCTGTGAGGAGCCCGATGCAGGACTTGAACCCCGGACCCTGTGGTCATGCCCTGAGCTGAAGGCAGACGCTCCACCGCTGAGCCACCCAGGTGCCCCCATTTTTAAAGATTAAAGCTATCTTTATTTACAACAAAAAGGCACTGCAATTCAAAAGCTAAAATAATTCAGTAATAGGTTACCACCTCTCCTGATCTTAGATTAAGCATATGTGAAACAAGTACACTTGACTTGTATCCTAATAGTCCTAATAGTCTTTTCTGGTTGCTCTAATTTAATTAGTAACCATTTCTAAATATACTAAGAATAAAGCAGGAAAAACTGAATTTGGAACTATTCATCAGTAATCTTTCAAATCCTAACAGATGTGATAGAAACACCTCAAATCTTTGTAATAGTTTATTCCATAGAAGAGAAAGCCTACCTAATCACACATATTTAAACATGCAGTGTACTTAATCATTAAAGCAACAGAAATATATCTTAAAATTATTTTCCTAAAACACTACAAATCTGACTTTACTAGTATAAAATTGAGTTTTATTATGGGTGATCTGAAACGTAACCCCCCCCATTAAGATTTGGCAATTATAAAATAGTTGAAATAGGTAACAAAAAAACCCTCACTAGTTCGTATATAGATGAATATAATTCTGTTTTTCCTCCCATCCTATTGGTTCAGACAATCTGATTTTATTGATTTTAGTCTAAACTATTCCTGAATGAAAAAGATTTTATTTATTCATAACACAATTACTCCCGGCATAATTTGTACCATAAACAACCTGAGCGTTCTATTTTATCAATCTAAGAATTTTTCACTTTAATTAGCTCTCCAAAGGCAAATAAGGTTTATAGAATATCATTTATATTATGTATTTTAATACAGCTTACTTCTAAAATCTCTGCAACCTCTCACTTCTCTAATATTAAACTGCTTCACAACTACACAAGGCTGAGAGAGTAAGATGTAAAGTGTAAAATAATTACCGGACAACATTTATAATGTGGCTTAACGGAATTTCTTGGGAAAACTCTCTTTTTTGAAATTACACAATTGTGATTCTACGGATACTTGTTCCAGGTTTCATATTCAAAAGAAGTCTGCAGTATAATTCCAACCCTGCTGTCTCACCGTATTTCTTTTTTTTTTTTAAGATTTTATTTATTCATGAGAGGGGGGCGGGGCAGAGACAGAGGCAGAGGGAAAAGCAGGCTCCATGCAGGGAGCCCAACGAGGGACTCGGGACTCGGGACTTGGGACTCGTGGGACTCGATCCCAGGTCTCCAGGATCAAGCCCTGGGCTGAAGGCAGCACTAAACTGCTGAGCCACCAGGGCTGCCCTCATCAATTTATTTAAAGCTATACCTAAACTACTACACTGTCCTTCTCACTGGTCTGTTTCTGCTTTTGTCCCCTCCAGTCCATTACATAGAAATCAGATAACTGCTTTCCCATCCCTCTTAGATTTAAATCCCAGATCCTCCATACACTCTTGCCTGATCTGTTCCTTGAATTTTTGTTTGTTTCTTCAAACTCACATCTCACCAACTTCCCCTTATTCTCACCATTTCAGAAACATCATTCTCCCGTTGCTCTTTTCTGCCTCCAGAACCTTGTACAGGCTGTTCCCTGTGCCTAGAACTCACCCGTTTCTTTACCTGGCTAACTCTTCAGATCTGATTCTTCAGATCTCCGTGTAAATGTTGCTTTTTAGCATGGCTTCCCATAGTCTCCTCAGATGAGATCAGGTCACCATCCCATGCCTCTCTTGGACCTGGCACTTTTCTTTCCTCACACTTAGGACAAGTTATGCTTACATATGATTTATACTGTCTTGTTCAGTGCCTGACTGTTTTAATTGTCTTGTTTAATGACTATGAACTTCTTGAAGGTTCATTCTGTTTTGCCTTCATCGGTATGTTCTCAGTGTCCAGTACAGAATCATGTACATATAGGTACTTAATAAATATTTAGGAAATCAATTAATGGTCAGCGGCAGGAACACTGTTCCCACAGTATTTCAGCTTTAGAGGGAATCCGATGATTCACTTAATTGGTCTAGGCTCCTTTCCATCATGTCTATCATGTCCTTGACAGAGGTGCATTCACACTTTGTTCCTTTGGTTCTCTGTGAGCAAAGGTCCCTGATCTCTGAGTTGTATCTCAAGTGTAGTCATTTCCCTATCCTTTGCATTCCGTTCATTCCTCTCTAAAGTGTTCAAGAGGCCTGACCAGGTGGGGTAAAGTAGGGTGATGACCCTCTTTGATTAGGGCACTGTGCCTCTATCCCTGCTTGATAAGATTCCCTTCATGTCTTAGCAGTTGTCATAAGCACTGATGCATATTGAGCTGGTCAGTCGGCTAAAACCTAACATTTTTCTTTTAGAGATTAAGGCTCTCCATTGTTGGGTTACAAATGAGGCAGTTAAAGCCATTTTACCTTTAGCCTTCCGTTGACCAGTAAGCTGTTCTCTCTACAAGTTATTGCAGTTGTTTTTAGGTTATCAGAATTTCTTAAAGATGAGATTGTCACAGATCACACCTGTTACTTCCTGTGCCCTGTTATAAACATGCATGAGAGGAGGAGACTATATTGAGCACCTATTCTGAGCACCTTCCTAATATATAATTTACAGTGTGTAACATACATAAAATATCCAGCAGGGCAGTCTAGGATAGTTAACACATGGACTCTGGAATAGATCTCCTTGATTAGAATTAGAGCCTTGCCACTTGCCAATAAGTTCCTTAAACTGTGCTTGCCTCAGTGTCCTCATCTATAAAATTAAAATAATAATACCACTTACCTCATAAGGTGGCTGTGATGATTTGATAAATTAATGTTAATATATCCATAGTGTTTATAATGGTGCTGGTACATAATTAGAAGTGAATATGTAGTAGCTATTACCTCATTTAGTTCTTAAAATAATTATGAGTTACTAATATAATTTCAGTTTTACAAATGAAGAAACTCATTCAGAGAGGTTAGGTTACTTATTTCAGGCAGATCAGGATTTGAACTTGAGCCCAGGATAGCAGTCACAGATGCTTATGTGAAAGAAACCAGACATAATCCCCTTCCTATGAAGGGGACTGTGACTGTGGTGGGTGCTTAGGGTCTCCTCGGCTGCTCTGCAGGATGCCTTAGTTTTCCTTCTGATGAGACTACACCAAATAGTAAAATGGATGGATTCAATGGATCCAATGGATATATTTCATAAACAGACTCAATAGGACTTAGTATTGGATTAGATGTGGGGCTAAGGGAGAGTGAGGGTCAAAGAAGACCTCTACATTTCTGGCATGAGCAATTACTGAAATGAGGACAAGTGGATTTTGAAAGGAGTGAGGGGAAGAGATCAAGGGTTCAATTTTACGCATTTGAGATTACCCAAAGGGAATGTCATGAAGCTTAAAGGACACATTTGGTACTGAAGATATAAAACTATTATGTCAACAGCATAGAGTATTTGAAGCTATGGCTCTGTGTGGGATGGCCTTCTACGAATGAGAAGAGGGCCCCAGAACACCAACATTCATTCCAAAACTAGATTAAGAAAAGCATTAATACCATGTGAATTTACTTGGCATTCACTGATAAAATCGGTTCACAGTCCAGGACCTATCATGTGTAACATTAATGTTGCTGGAATATACACTACTACTCACAAGTGATACTTTTTCACAGGTTAAAGAAAAAAACAATCTACCAAAAGATGATTGTGGTGATCTGAAGTATGTCCACAAATGCTCTGACAGTACCTTCAACAGGTGGAGCCCACTGCCCTGCCTCGAGTTCCCACTGGTCTTAGTAAAATGATGGAGACAACAGTGTGACTTCCGAGGCTAGATCATAAAAGGCATTCTAATTCCACCTTGCTCTTTTTTGAAACACCCACTTCGAGGGAAGCTAGCTGCCATGTCATAAGGACACGAGCCCCACAGAGAGGGCCACAGGGCGAGGAGCTGAGGCTTCCTGCCCGCAGCATGAGGGTGAGCCGCCTTGTACGTGGATCCCACAGCCCCAGGGAAGCTTTCAGGTGACCACAGCTTCACCCGCACCATTCATGAGACCCCAAACTAGACCATCCAGCTAAGTCCCTAGTCGATTCCAGACCCTCAGAAAATGCAGGAGACCATAAATACTTGTTTTAAGCTGCTAGGTTTGGGGGTAACTTGTTGGGCAGCAACAGAAGACATTCATTACTATATAATGCAGTCATTATGAGAAATTTGCTAAAATAATAAAAAGCCAAATCACGGTAAGCTATTGCACAGACACCAAAAAACAAAAGTCTGGAAAGCATAGTCAAATCAAAGCATGACAAGAGAAGTGTAAGACAGGCATAATGCCCAACGAACTAACTGCTAAATATTTCTTTCAAAGGAGTAACCAAAAGTATGCGCTTTATTTTAAAATTATCTCAACCAGGAAGGTTCATTTTTGTAGGGAGAAAACAGTTCCTAGTTCTACTCTATATACTATTAAACATATGTCCTTTTAAACCACGAGTTCCGTAAAGATGACATCAGTTTTATGTACCAGG